AAGAAACTGAAAAAATTATAAAAGAGAGACTCTGCGCTATATACACCATGATATATACATAAGATAAACAGAAATACGATGTATTAAATAGAATAAATACTGCAGAGTGATTATTGCATGTAGTAATACAGGTAAATTGCAAGATGAATATTGCACATCTGAGTAGCAGCAGGTTTATTGCACAGGGTACAGTATGGGTGTGTGGCGGGATGGAATTTATGTTTAGTGTCTGAAGGCTGGGTGTGAAATCAGTGTGAGGAGTTATAGAGTCTGATGGCTGTAGGTAGGAATGATCTTCTGTGGCGTTCAGTGGAGCACTTAATGCTAGTCAGTCTGTAGCTAAAAGTGCTTCTCTGGTCAGCCACCACATTGTGGAGTGGATGATCAGCATTGTCCATGATGGACTGAAGTCTGAACAATATTCTCCGTTCAGCCACCATTTCCAAGCTTGTTGAGCCTCTTGGCCTCTGCCTCTTTCATGCTGCCATCCCAGCTGGCTACAGAGAAGAAAATGGCGCTGGCCACCACAGACTCATAAAACATCCGCAGCATAGTGTTGCAGACTCTAGAAGACCTGAGTTTCCGTAGGAAGTACATCCTACTTTGACCCTTCTTGTAAGTGGCCAGAGAGTGCTTTGACCAGTCCAGCTTATTGTCCAAGTGGATGCCGAGGTACTTGTAGTCCTGAACGATCTCCACATCCACCCCCCTAATGGACAGGGGAGTAGCAGGAGACCGTAGTCTTTTTAAGTCAAGACTATGCCCCTCACCCACCCCTGTCCTGTATTCTGGCCCCTGCCCCCACTAGAGAACATATTCTTGGAACTCCCTTGGCACCCTCCCCCCCCCCACACCTTCCTGGCTTGTCATCAACCAAACAGGTGAGAAGAGAGCTGAGGAAGACCAGGGTGAAGAACTGAACTGGACAGACAAAACCATTGCCTTGTACAAGAAGGGCCAGAGTTGACTACCTATTGTGGAGACTAAGGTCCTTTGGTGTACAAGAACCACTTCTGAAGTCATTCTGTGACGCAGTGATGGCATCAAACTTCTTCTACATTCCTACATCTGCTGGGACAAGGAGGAGGCGGTTGTTTGTGTACAGTACATTATTATATTTATATTTTTATGTCCTTTCATACTGTGCTCATGTTGTGTGTCTATGGCTGCTGCTGTAATACCAAAATATCCCTTCTTGGGATTAATAAAGTTCATGTTATCTTATATTTATTTATCTTATCCTGTCTTATCATATCTTTGCTCCACTACTTCTATCTTTTTTCTCAGCACTTCCACATAACTTCCAAGTGAGCGCCAGTGCTTGTGGTCAACCACTCAGTAAGTTATCACTGCAAGAGCCTCCCCAATAGTTCATGGTCGAACAAAAAGTAGGGACTAAAAAGGGTTCCGGAACTGCCTCCAAGGAACGCCAGTCGGACCGAGTTCCTGCTGTGGGGACAAGACAAAGTTCCTTGTTCCAGTAGCAGTTTATAGTTATGAAATGAATAAGCCATTTGATTGGGCAGGCCAATGGAAACATTATTACATTATTGCCAGTTATTACATTAAAGGTAGGTATTACATTATTGGCTACAACAGGGGCTACTCCACAAAGCAAGTTTATATAGTTATACAGATAACTTTAAAAAAGTTTCAAAGTATGTTGTCAGGAAACCTGATTCCTGGCCACATATCAATGTCCATGGTCCTGCTCCTTTGGGAAGTTCTATGGATCCCTGTTGATTCCAACTGCTCTTAATTTAAGCAAATAATCATTTGATTCACAAGTTTCCGGGACTAAAATTAGCCACGTTGCAGCGTGATTGCCAGTATGTTTGAGGGCAAGAGGATCTGGCTGCAGAACACTGAGCGACGACCACCACCAGGGAGATCTCCACTGTGGGGACAGAAATCACATGACGTATGGTTGCTAAGCACAATATAAATTATGTTTCTTGTATAAGTCCCTACCCCACAACCACAAAATTAGCTTAATTTGGTTTATTTCAGCTTAACACTATTCTTAGTATAAGTGACTGAAAAGCATTGGATACCTGAGGTGTTGCATTCTTCAAGCATTGCTTTTGTTTTGTCTATAGCAGGGTTCTTCAAATCTGGACCTCGATTCCAAATCCAGGCCTTGTTTTCACTTCTCCCAGGTAGTTAGTTTAATAATTACTGATTCTGATTGGTCAGAGACTTCTCACCTGACTGACAGGTAAAGGAAGGCTGGGAAACCAGCAGTGCTCGGACCTCGAGGACCGTGATTTGAATAACCCTGGTCTATAGCATTGCAATATGCTTGACAACCAACAACTGTTTATGGGATTCCTTTATCCAGGGCTCTCAATTAAGTTTCACACATGACCGTAAAACACACACATTTCAACCAGTTCACACGCTCACACGCCACAACTTGTATTTCTCACGCTGGGATAACGCCTACCAAACTGTCCCGTTATATTTATTTAATGGACGAGGCTCGGGCATACGGAGTGGGTTTGCCGCCGAGTTCATAACAGTCCTGAGGTATACAGAGTTAACAGCCACCTACCAGCCAATCAGAAAATAGTATTTGTTGTTTCTATGCAAGCACATAGAAGCGCCACACATACGGAATGCAGAAAAGGTGGAAGAGCAAGACGGGATGAATGCGGTAGACAGCTAGGGCTCTTAAGTCTCACACGTAGACCGTGAGATTCACACTCCGCCCCTAACAGATGTAATCTCACTCCAAATTTCTGATAAAACTTCAGAGCCCTGACTTTAACATAAATCAGAATATTTTTGTAAACAGAAAATGCAAATTAAATAAAACAACAGGACAGGTCGTTTAGTAAAGAGTAGCCTAATTATCTTATTTTTAGTGCGCGTCACTTTCACCGTAATAATTATCAGAACAAACATAAATCAATTTATGAAAGCCCTGTCCTTTGTTTAATAATAAAATGTATAAGAAATGAATTTCTAGTTTAATTTATAGCGATCTCACCATTTTTATAACTCGCCATTACAGCCTTGCGTTCGCATTTTGAAGCGAAACCACCGTACTGTAATATACACACAGTGCTCTGCAGCAAATAATAATGTAAATATAAAATCACAACATCTGTTAATAAATAGCAATACACCCGCGAACGTTCTACTACATCCACTGTCAGGCGTCTCTCGATCAGTGTATATTATTTACTTTGGACCATGCACGTACATGCGATCTGAACTCCCTTGACCGGGCGTAACTCAATAGCTTAATTAGGCCTATTTCTGTACCGCCGTTTTGTTCGTCACTTTTTCCACAGGATGTTATATCCCTATTTTACATATTTAAGGTAAATGAATGTTTAATACATTGATATTAAAAGATACATCAATCAGAATACGTACATTTACAGTTTAACTGTAATCACTGTTGACTAACCTGCATTAATAGGTCTTGGACTCCAACTGAAATGACAACAGTTCTTTATGTAAGGAAATACTTTCACTTTTATACTTTCGTTTTGACAGTGCTGAAAACGGAAGTGTACGGGTACGGTTCGTATAGCTGCCAGTATGAGAAATTAAAATTTCCCCTGTTTCGCGTTATAACGAAATACATATCAGCAAAATTGATAATGACTCATTATGTATGACCATGATAACATTCCAAAAGCCTTTGGTGATTTTGGTGGCTCTTCACTCTTTGGAAGTGAAGTTATTCACATTATCCGTTTTCGTTTTGCACTTTGCAGACGATCCCTAAGCTCTCCTCTGACAGCGGACTTTTCATATGGGGAGCAATGTTATCCGTATTTCTT